GTACTTATAAATAGCTTCCAAATTCACTTGGATTACTAAATTTAAATGTTAAAAATTAAATAGGATGAACTAAACACATTGATATTATTTCATAGGATATGCCCTGGAAAATGCGTCGTTTTGCAAAACTGGATATGTCAGCTAGACTAGAGTTACAGTCAGCGCTGGATGCAGAAATAAGAGCCAAACAGGCCATCCAAGAAGAGCTAAATAAAGTTAAAGCTTCTAACATCATAACAGAATGGTAAGATTAAATAATATAATCCTACTAGAATAATTTCTAAATTTGTCAAAAATTATTTGGATAGAAGTTACATGTAAACTTTTTGTGTATGAACTTTGGTATAAATAATACAGACATTAATTAAATATGCTGAAATGTATTTGTGTGGCAGTGAAAAGGTACAAAACTTTTTCTGGAGAATATGAATTAATCTCAGCATAAAGAGCTACTGAATGTCTTTCTCTGGGTTGTAATTTGGAATAAGTATTATCTTTTCTCCTTATGCCCAGGACATGTGAATTTACATATTTGTACATAAATTAGGGGTATGAGTCAAATTGAAAAATTATAAACATACTCATGTATATGGCCTGCTTTCATGGTTGCCTGGGAATGACGTCTAATAGAATTCTAAAACTAACTGTTGACTTTGTAACATTTTTAAATTTAGTAATTTATGTCAGGGCCAGCAAACTTTTCCTATGAAGGGCCAGATAGTAAGTATGTATTTTCGGCTCTGAGGGCCATTATAGCCTCCATCACAACTTGGCTTTGCTTTTATACTACAAAAGTAGTTGTAGCCCATACTCATAAATGAATGAGCCAAGCTGTGTTCTAGTAGAACTGTATTTACGTAAAAGTAGGTGGTAGCCTGTATTTGTCCTTCCTGTAGTTGTTTGCAATCCTCTAATTTAGTATGATTGATGTTTAAACCAAAGTAAGTCCAGCTACATGATGGCTCATTAACCAGCAGTAAAAATTAGTGACATTTCTTCCTTTATTCTTCTATTTAAGTAAACTAAAAGATTCAGAGAAGAAGAACTTGGAACTACTATCAGAAATTGAACAATTGATAAAGGATACTGAAGAACTTAAATCTGAAAAGGGTATGGGAATGTGTGTTTGTATCACCCAAGAATTACTGTTCTGTTATGAATACATTTTTTACATAAGAATAAGCTTATTGTGTAGTGGGAGAATTATCCACAGAGCAGTTCTGGCACTCATGTATACGTGTGTGTGTGTACACATATAGATGATGCACACACACATATAGTTGGTTAACTGGTATCTGTTGTTTTACTTAACATACATTGTTTAATGATTTCATAGTAACAGAAAGTCTCTTTGCCATTAAATTTGACTGGTTTTTCAGTGGCATGGACTATTTCATGAATGAGATTTTTGTAATTAGAAAAAAATTATTTTCTTATTTTATGATGTATTTTACGATATTCTCAAATGTTACAGCAGGAGGCAATCAGTCCAACAATAGCAACATGTGGTAGCATTCAGAACTTGATGAGGATACTTGAAGAGGGATTTTTTATTTTTAGCACCTTTTATGTGCCTAGAATGTATAAAATCTTGGAGGAGATTCACTCCCAGTGTAGTTGAGGAAAAAAATGTATGAAATAACTAAAAATTAATTTAATTCACTATTAATAGAGTAATTTGGTAAGGAAGAATTTGACATTCCAGTTTGATAATAAATTGCTCACCCTGTGGGATTTCCTAGGATTTATTACCATTTCCTTGAAAACTTCACTTGAGCCTTTTTCTGTTAATGTGAACACTAACTCAGAGCTCTTGATAGTGCTCTGTTACATGAACTTCTTAAACTTTCTTTCTATATTACGGGCATTAAAAGTGTGAAGATTTAATAAAAAAATTTAGAATGCTATTTTTTTAATAAAGGGGTATCTAATATGCACTTATTTGAAGTTCATTTTTCTGACAAATGCTATTTCTAAATACTGAACTAGTTAATGGGCTTTACATTAGGCTTAAGTGCTTCCCTGTCATCTCATAGCTTTGCATCTGCTTGTAAAATTGTGAAGGACAGAGTAATCACATAAAGGAACTGACAAGGAAAAAAGCCATAAAAAATAATTAGTGTTCAATAAATTTTACTTAATTGAATTTTTTATTGAACAAATAAGGAAAAAGACTAGAAAAAGTGAATAGGAACTGAGATTAGGAGCATAAGCTATCATGCTACAATGAAAGTCATGCTAGGTTTTAATTCATAAAGAGCAGATGGGAGATAGTGAGGAGAAGGAAACAAATAGATAATGTAGGCGTCCTCAAACTACAGCCCACAGGCCAATGCAGCCTGCCTAGGACATTTATCTGGCCCACTGGGTGTTTATGCCGCTGCTGCCTGTCCTGCTTAGCAGCCGACTGGTCCCAGGGCCCGCAGTCCGGCCCTCCAATGGTCTGAGGGACAGTGAATTGGCCCCCTATTTAAAAAGTTTGAGGACCCCTGCGTGTGGCCCTAAAGGCAATTTAATAGGAAAGAGATGACTGCAGAGTACAACTTGCACTCTAGGTGACATTGACTGCATGAGTTTTAGAATAGACCTAAACTTGAAAGAGAGAGATTCAAGTTTATCACATTGCCTAATGGAGGCATATTAAACATAGCTTTTTTATTAGGATTTTGAATATTGAATAAAATTTTACTGTATGTTACAATGTACTATACTACTTAAGAACACATAATACACATATTATGAGGGCATGAATTTTTTTAATGCTTTGTTCAGTATTATATCTCTAGGATTCAGAACAGTATTTGGCATATCCTAGACTTTCAATAAGTGTTTGTTGACTTAATGAATTTCTGAACATATTGTCTTATCTTATAACTGTACATTATTAGTGAATAATAGGAAAAGCACATCAAATCAGTTGATGTTAATTCCTAAAGATATGGAAATTTAAATTTGATTGTTTTCCACTTTTTCTTCCTGGTGTTTATCAGTATTTATACGTTTTAAAAATTATTTTGGAAGGTATATATTCAAGTTCATACCATAGCCTAGAGATATATATGAATTTTTATAAATGCATCTGAGAAAAAGTGGGGCTTAGATTCTTCATCTTGCCAATAAAAAAATTCCTGAAATCAGATTAACAATAGTGTTTTCATAAATAAGTACATTTGCTGGCTAGGAGCCTATAGCTCAACTGGCTAAGGCACCAGCCATGTACACCTAAGGTGGCGGGTTCGAATCCCCAGCCCGGACCCACCAAACAACAATGACAGCTGCAACCAAAAAATAGCCGGGC